CTTGTAATAGAGGGGCTATAAGAATAATTTGAGGGTATCGAAGTATTCAGGGAAATTTTATGTTGCTAATCTGGAGAAAATTGATGATTTTGTATGGTCTAGTTAGTAATAAAGAGAATACGTGTATGGAAAATAACACGAATCTTGTCAATTTAGGGGTTAAAAAAAATATTGCGGGAATAGAGAAACGTTCAGGAGACTCTCTTATATCTGTATCGTACAAAATAAGTTGATTTGCATTGTGAAAACGAAGAACAGATAATTCTTGCCGTTTTCTTCGTACTACATTATGTGAATTCCAGCAAGAATCATCTGTTTCTGGAAATATAAAAATAGCGCCATCACACGTAGTGGCAAATCGCTCAAACTGGTAAACAAACTTACTAACAGAGTCGAAACTTTACTGGGAAAAGCACAGTGTTGCTATCTGGTATTTCAATAAAATTACAGACGAGGTATCAGACTTAATACATCGTCTGCAGTAACATCGGTATTAGTATTGTCATACATACTGTGTTAGGCTTCAGAAGTCCCATTTTTGGGTGACAAAATAATACACTGGGTGTCAAGTCTATTCCTATACCTCGTCTGTGGTATAATGTTTGTGTTAATAACTTATTAATAATAAGCGGTTCGAAACAAGTATTTGTTATCGAAATTATACTTGAAAAAAAAAATAGAAAACATGAATTTATTACCAAAAGCGCATGAAGAATTCAGTCAAGTCGAGTATTGGAATACATTTTTCAAGAAACGTGGTAAAAAGAGCTTTGAATGGTATGTGTGATTTGTATTTATAATTAATTGATTGACATAATGTACTGAAACTATGATGTTCGTTTTTTCTATTTAGGTATGGAGAATATCCAGAATTATGCAGTATAATCTTGAAGTTCATAAAAGTGAAAGATAATATTTTAATTGTTGGTTGCGGTAATTCAACGCTTAGTATGTGCTTGTACGATGCTGGGTACAGGTAATGAAAATATATTATTTGGAATATTAGTCTGTCATTGTATCAATCGTTATTCAAACATAATTCTCTTTAAAGATCGATGCTCAAAAGTATTTGTTTTTTCAATTATAGGAACATTACTAATATCGATATATCGCATATTGTTATCAAGCAAATGCACGACATTAATGCGTCGGTGAGACCAAATTTAATTTATGAACAAATGGATGCTACACAAATGACTTATCCAGATGACACGTTCAGTGTTATTTTGGACAAAGGTACTTTAGACGCCCTTATGCCAGATACTAAGGAAGGTACGATATCCACAATTACAAAATATTTTAAAGTAAGTTCATCTATATTAAACAACATTTAGAATCAAATGAATTGTCTCTTATCCTGCTGATTGTGTACGTATATTATATGATATATGTTGAATTTTTTCAGGAAATCACAAGAGTTCTACGTAATGGCGGCAGATATATTTGTATTTCTTTATTACAAGAGCACATTTTAACAGAACTTTTGTCTTATTTTCCTACTGCTGGATTTATGTTTCGTATAATACGTTGCTATGAGGCAGAAGCAAAAGCACGGATAGAAGAAGGTAGTTCGATTGCAGTTTTTGCAGTTGTTGCCACAAAATTTATAAATTTACCACATCCTGTAAGTATTTCATTATACAAGAATGTATCATCCGACTACTGTTCCATATTTTCATAAAATTTCTTTACATTAATTTCAGAATTTATAATTATGACAGGTTCTAGAAATAGCACTGGTTGACGGTCCTCCAAAACGATTGTCGACATCGAACGATATGATATCTGCTGTACTTTCAACACAAAAGTCAGCTTTAATATGTAACAATCTTCGCAAACGAAGTATTGCCGATATTGGAGAGATATCATTGGATTTACATCGTCCTGACGACGAACATCCGCGGTATACAGTTTATGTGTTGGACAAGCCTAAATTGCATGGTATAAATACATATGCAGCATTTATGGTGCCACAGGGAAAGTAAGTTCACATTGATTTCACATTGTTACTATTATAAATGAATACAATTTTACCAACAACACATATTTAATTAGGGAAACAGATTGGTTATTTAGCTCAAAAGAAGGAAGACAACAAGTTCTTAAAAGCGCGCAACACGATAGGCTCGCAATTGTTACTCTACGCAGAGAACATAAATTTGAGAGTTGGGATGCTGTCAAATCGGAGCTGGAGGACTGCATTTTAAATTTGGCGCCGGAAGGTTTATCTAGTAGAAACGATATTCCACTTTTATCACTAGGATCCGATGTGGGGCAAAGAATTATATGTTACGAAGGGAAAAGTGAGCTGAGTGGTTCGTTTGTTGTTGAAGACATTGAAAGGGATGGTTGCGAGTTCAGAAGACTGGTTTTTCTAAATACTCCTTACGTTATCCAAAGCGAAGCTCGACTCAAGCAGGGTATTGAATCCTATTCCCATGCGCACCTTATTATTTTAATAATATTTTTAATTTTGAATTAATCATTTTCCAGTTAAATCTAGGCGTGATAAAATGAAAAAAGTTATCGATCCTGGTTTCCTAGCTGGTGATCATCACTTACACATGAGTATAGGTGTCACTGCTGTAATAAATCCCAAAGAATGCGATGACATTATGATCATAGGATTAGGCGGCGGAAGTTTATGTACATTTTTGTACAATTGTTTTCTTAAAGTATGAACATGATATTGTAAAATTCGTTTGTGTTGTATACTAGTAATATGTGTATAGGATAATATCATTACAGTATATCGTAAAATATAATTTTCATTTTTGCAGTTGAATATCATTGCAGTTGAAATTGACAAAGCAATGCTTAAAGTGGCAACTGACTATTTTGGACTTACTCTTGACGCCAGAATGAAGGTTGAAATTGCTGATGGAATTCAGTTTATTAAAGAAAACTCGGTCGCCGGGAAGAAATTTAAAGCTGTGCTTTTCGACGTGGATAGCAAAGACACAACAGTTGGGATGAGTTGTCCACCTAAACAATTTTTAGAAATGCCGATTATCAAATCAGTGTCAGAATGTTTAACAAGCGACGGTATTTTTATACTTAATCTAGTTAGCCGAGATCAGAACATTAAGAAGAAAGTGAAGAATGATCTGATGTCTGTATTTAAATGTATAGCATGTTGTTCCATTCAAGATGCGGTAAATGAAATAATTCTGTGTTCTATAAGCGAAAACGATAGTTCCGAATGGATAAACAAATTAAAAGCAGCTGCCATAACGTTAAATAAACAAGTGACTGCGAGAAAATTATTAAGTAATGCGGATATGTTCGATTTGTCGTTTTTTATGGAAAATCTGTCTGTAAATTCTTAATTTAAATATTTACCACTAATAGTTGCAATGAAATTCATTAACTACTCATGCGTTCCTTACTCGATGATATATCCCTGTGCGATTTTTATCAAAATGTTGAAAGTAGATTTTGAAATTTCTTTTATCATCCGTCGAAACTTATATCGAAAATAGATCTAAAAAAAAAAGATGAAGGAGCATATCTTAATATAATAAATAATGTATAATAAATAGCGTTTGATATTTTAAATGTTCCTTTACTTTCCTTTCGTATGTATAATATATTATAAATATAATATAAATATATATATATTTTTTATATATATAATATAATTATATAAATTATAATTAAATTATAAATTATATATATATATATATATTTAAATTAAACTTCGAAATTTTAGAAATTAGATTTTAAAACGTTTCACGTTGAATTTCGAAACGTCTCAAATTGAATATTAAACCGAATTTGAAAACGTTTGAAATTAAACTTTGGAACTACGGAAATTGAATTTTGAAATGTTTTCGGTTGAATTTGTTTGAAGTTCGTTTAAAAAATGTTGTACAGATCGCCACGGTTGAAATTACGTGACGTAACGCGGTTTTTATTTGCCGGATACAGTCGAGTGGAGAATCAATTTGCGAAGAAATTCGCGGAACAGCTGGAGAGGGAGAACGGAATTGTAAATCAATGCCTCGGTTTATTACATATTCCCGTTTCGGTACGTTTTCTTCGTGGAATCCAACGACTTTTGTAATTACCGNATATATATATATTTAAATTAAAAATCGAAATTTTACAAATTAGATTTTAAAACGTTTCACGTTGAATTTCGAAACGTCTCAAATTGAATATTAAACCGAATTTGAAAACGTTTGAAATTAAACTTTGGAACTACGGAAATTGAATTTTGAAATGTTTTCGGTTGAATTTGTTTGAAGTTCGTTTAAAAAATGTTGTACAGATCGCCACGGTTGAAATTACGTGACGTAACGCGGTTTTTATTTGCCGGATACAGTCGAGTGGAGAATCAATTTGCGAAGAAATTCGCGGAACAGCTGGAGAGGGAGAACGGAATTGTAAATCAATGCCTCGGTTTATTACATATTCCCGTTTCGGTACGTTTTCTTCGTGGAATCCAACGACTTTTGTAATTACCGCTGGTGCCTTCTTGCGAAATTCGTGGGTTTCAGAGCCTTGACCATACCAGGATCATACTTGAGCTTATTTCATGCTATAACCGAGGTTTATGCGCCTCCGAGTTCCGAGTTCCTTGCATTCGAGGCACTTGTTGCTAGTCGGCGATTGTTCCTCCTAATAGTGACGACGATGCCTTTTACAATTCGCTGTGTTCTTTTTTTTTGTTCTTTACCTTCGTCTAATCTACAGCCTTCCTGGAACATCTAAGGAAACGGGTCTGCAACTTTTAACGCGCGAACTATTCGATAAACAATAGTTTTCCAGCGAGTTTTCCGATGCCGGAATCTAAAGTGAAATTAGTTCTAGGTTATAAGAATTCTTTGCGAAACGAAGATATAAATATATATATATGATGCCATATTTTTGCGAACGAAGTATTCGTCGAATCTCTTCGAATCACGTTTCACGTTGCACCGGAAACATTCTGTTATTCCTGAAATTACAGGGTGTCTCAAAAATGTCTCGCAAACCGGAAATGAGAAGTTCCTGGAATCGTTTGAAGTAACTTTTTCCTTAGCGAAACTACAACCCGTGGCTTCGTTTACGAATTATTAACGAAAATCACTGACCAATGAGAGGCGAGCTCGGCGGTCGAACCAATGAACGCAGCTAGTTCCGCTCATTGGCTCGGCGCAGCCTTGCGCCAGCATATCTCACCTCTCATTGGTCACTCTTTTTTCGTTAATAACTCGTAAACAAAACCGTGGATTGCATTTTCGCCGAGGACAAACTTACTTCAAATTACCTCAGGAACCTCCCATTCTCGGATTGCGAGACATTTTTGGGACACCCTGTATATTTATTATATTTATTATTATTATATATATATATATATATTACTATATATTACTATATATTTATTATTATTTATTTAGGGAAAACATTGTCGGCGCGTTGTGGTAACGAACAACGCTAATCGCTGTCCGCTTAAACGATACACCGAAATACAGGGTGTCCCAAAAATATGTCTCGCAATCCGAAAGTGGCGGGTTCCTCAGCACATTCGAAGCAACTTTTTCCTTTACAAAAATGTTCTCCGAGGCACCGTTAACGAGTTATCAACGAAAAACAGTGACCAATGAGAGGCGAGCTCGGTTGGCGCGAGGCGACCGAGCCAATGAGCGGAACTTAGGCTTCGCGCGCTGGTTGGCTGGGCCGCCTCGCGTCAGCCGTACTCGATTCTTATTTCGGAAGATGGAATTTCTCACCGGTGCCTACGCATATCAATCTCCATACGTTGCCGCGAGAGGCACTTAAAGTAAATGTTCTACCAAGAAGCTGGTTAGTTTACGAGGAAATTTTCACGGAATACACTTACGCACTCGTAATGCTTCCTCGGTGGCAGGATCATTGCGCTTAATTTGCGTTTCTTGCAAAATTCAACCGTGATAAATGCCAAGATTACAGGTAACATTATTCCTTGCTTCTATTTTTCCCCTAACGCGGAGGAGACAGCCTTGATTCCCGTCGGAATAAGAGAAATAAAAATTTACACGATACTATACCTGCTTAACGTTTAATAATTCTACGCGCGAGGTTATGTTCATAGCGGAACGTACAATTTGGTCGGAATTGCGCGTCGAAGTTCAAAGTTTGCGCGCGCGCGCGCGCATTTCATTTGTCACGTAAAATCAGTAGTTGGCGGTGAGCCCATTAATTTGTCGGTCAAGTAAATTAAATATTTCGTTCGAGAAACGGCTACAAGATTGCCGGCTCGCAAATTACGGTGGTTAATTCGTTCCGTAGGAATCGCAGAAGTTGCCACGGTCGGACTCGTGTTTTCTCCCGGTTACACGTACACACTCACACACACAGCTGTGCGCCGCTCTGACTGTGCCGCAACAGCGAAAGTCCCGGTGCGCTCTTAATTATTAAACGATCGTTCTAAGATGAATGTTGAGCCCGATCGACATTTTTTTTCTCGTTAAGCTAAAGTTTAAACTCGGCGTGTCATTTGTTACATTAACGTCTCATTATCCGGTGAAAGTTCATCGTTACGCATTTTTTTTCTCTCTCTTCCCCGCGATCCCGAAAGCAGTGCCCACCTGCCGTTTTTATCATCCGTGACAAACCGTGGTCGTCCTAAGCTTATTTTTACAGCCGACGCGCGTACGTCTTCTCTTTCATTTCTCGGATCGAAAGAATTATTCTTAATACAATTGTTTTCATAAATTGAACGCGGAGCAGCGAACACGTCGGCCGAGTTCGAGAACACTGCAACGGTCCAGCCAACGAGCGCGCGACGGCCAGTTCCGCTGATTGGCTCGGCCGGTTTGCGCTAGCTGAGCTCGCCTCTCATTGGTCACTGGTTTTTCGTTGATAACTCGCGAACGAAGCCGCGGATCGAATTTTCGCTAAGGAAAAAGTTACTTCGAATGACCTCAGGAATCCCCTGCTTCCCTGTATATATTGGGTTGGCAATTAAATAATTGCCGATTTGTTCAATGAAATGAAAAATTTTTTTTACTTGGAACGAAGTTTAATCTGTAATGTATTTTCCATTTTGTTCGACGACCTTTTGCCATCTCTCTGACAACTTGAAAATTCCACGCTCGTAGAAAGTCTGATCCTTTTCGGCCAAAAACTGAGTTAAGTGAGATTTTACAGCGTCATCATCGTTAAAAGTTTTACCACGAAGGAGGTTGTCCAGGGATCGAAATAAGTGGTAATCCGATGGCGCGAGATCAGGGCTATATGCTGGGTGTAACATCAATTCCCAACCAATATCCATCAATTTTTGCCGAGTGGACAAAGACGTGTGCGGCCTAGCATTGTCCTGCTGGAAAATGACACCTTTACGATCGACCAATTCTGGTCGCTTTTCCTTGACCGCTGCATTCAATCTGTCCAGTTGCTAACATTCACGGATAATAAAAAATAACATAATAATAATAATAATAATTTTATAATATAACATTTACGGATATTATAAAAATGGGAGTGAGAGACATCTATAACTGAAATCGGCAATTACTTAGTTGCCAACCCAATACATATATCTTTATTAGAAAGCTGAATGTTTCAAGCACTTTTTGAAAGAATAACAGTACTTGCGAAGGTATCACGGAACTCATCGTAACGGTACACACGATATTATTGTTTAATTTTTATTCTATTATTATATTTCTAATTTCTATTCTATTATTATATTTCGAATTTCTATTCTATTATTATATTTCTAATTTCTGTTCTTTCCGTTCTCCCAAGGTACGAAACAGAGAATTGTTTCGCGGAACAAACATGATTCACCTGTTGTGTTGGATTCACGTTATTTCCGTGGAAGGGTAAACAGGGGCGCGATATCATGTCCACGTTATTAGCACGACAATAGGCCGAACTCGCCTTTTGATTTCCACCTTAATACGCCGCACATTGTCTGGATATCTCCGAACGATTCGTTTTCATAGACGAATTCGTTGCACGAATTTCTGCCCCCGTAGTCGACGCGTCCGGGCCTATACGAGGCTTCCCTTTTCTCATGCTAATCGAGGATCCCTTCGAAGAGCGAAATTCATGAAATTAAACACTCCGGAACATTGTTCGGCCAACAATATCGTAAGCTTCGCTAATGGCCCGTTTGTTCGGTCCCTGAAATTTTGGAAACTCGAGTCATCGGGAAATTTCAATCACAATAATTTGCATAGAAGATTCTTCTCTACCTGCCGATCACGTTTTCGAAGGCGACGCCCATTAATAGAACGAGTTTCACCCTCCGATGTCGCCGACATGGCGGCGCTATACGTTCGTGTCAAACTGGCATTCCTTTTAATAATAATAATAATAATAATAATAATAATAATAATAATATTATAATATAATATATAGTATAATAATATATATTATTATATTATGTATATAATATATATTATATTATATTATTTATTATATATATAATATAAATATAATATAATAATAATAATAATAATAATAATTATTATTATTATTATTATTTTTCATAATATAAGGCGATCGTGTAAAATGCATAGATACAAAATCTTTTGTTCATTTATTCCTTCAAAATTACACAACAGTA